CTTGAACAAGTTGCATTCAAACTACATATTCTAGGGTCATAATACATAGTTCCTAATAGGTTTCAGAACGGTCATTTTGGTCCATTTTATAAAATATAATCCCGAAAGTGTTTCGAAAACTGATCAGCAAAGAATTAGCAACTGAATTTAAGAATGAATTGATGATATTGGTCAACGTTTAAATTAGCTAAGTGCTAAAATCTCATGCCATGCCATATCGTATCGTCCGGTTTTTTTCTCACACCGTTGTTTTCCATGTTATCGTTATGATGCCCAACTCTAGCAAAAGTAGTGTCCTATTTTGATGCAAAGTTTAAAGGTTGACAAATGCATACTCTGCAAGTTATAAAAAATTTCATATACGTTAGATAACTGTGAATCTAATTTCGTTATGTCTGATATCATCATGTGTACAATGTAAAATTATATTCAAAATTTCAAGCGTCTACAATTATAAGATCATTAAATATTCGTTGTTATCATTAGACATTAATATAGATAGAACAAAATCTACTTTTTGTACGTTTCATTGTGTCCATATCCGTTTTGCAAAATGTTCCAATTTATATTCATCATACTTACTAAACCACATAAGTAGATCTGATACATTGCAAATGTTGCTGCAACTATTACAGTTCGATATAACACCCTGCAATAATAACAATATTTTTATTTCAAAAGGATGAAAATTAGGCTTGTTTACAATATTTTGCCCTGAAAAAACAACAACAACAAACAAATTGAAATTGAAAGATTGAAAATAAAACATATTTATACATTTCAAAAACAGAGGGAATACAATACGGAAGCGTATTAGGGCCATTCATTTTTTATTTTGAAATTTTCAAGTTAGTAACTTGAATTTTCAAGTTAGTATGTTGAATTTTCAAGTTAGTATCTTGAATTTTCAAACTAGTATGTTGAATTTTCAAGCTAGTATCTTGAATTTTCAAGATAGTATCAAGTTAATAATTTGAAAATTCAACATACTAACTTGAAAATTCAACATACTAACACACTAACTTGAATATTCAAGTTACTAAATTCAACATACTAACTTGAAAATTCAACATACTAACTTGAAAATTCAACATACTAACTTGAAAATTCAACATACTAACTTGAAAATTCAAGTTACTAAATTCAACATACTAACTTGAAAATTCAACATACTAACTTGAAAATTCAACATACTAACTTGAAAATTCAACATACTAACTTGTAAATTCAAGATACTAACTTGTAAATTCAACATACTAACTTGAAAATTCAACATACTAACTTGAAAATTCAACATACTAACTTGTAAATTCAAGATACTAACTTGTAAATTCAACATACTAACTTAAAAATTCAACATACTAACTTGAAATTCAACATACTAAC